ACCTGCCTTTTTAACCCACTAGTCTGTTAACATTACATTTGTGGCTGGGCACAGTGGCTCAGACCTGTAATTTCAGCACTTTGGAGGCTGACATGGATGGATCACTTTAGGCCAACATGGTGAAACGCCATCTCTACTAAAAATACAAAAATTAGCTGGGCGTGGTGGCATGTACCTGTAATCCCAGCTACTCCGGAGGCCGAGGCAGGAGAATCGTTTGAACCGGGAGGCAGAGGTTGCAGTGAGCTGAGATCATGCCACTGCACTTCAGCCTGGGTGACAGAGACTCCATTTCAAAAAAAAAAAGAATGCACAATAGGTTTGTTTCCTTGGTGGCTGCAGAAGCCCTCCAGTGACACCAAGGCACCAAGGGACCCAGTCCCTGGGCTGGAAGCCCTATTAAGGGTGGCAGAGGGGAGAGATGAAAGAACTTGTGACTGCTGATATCACTGAGCTGCAGAATTAACAGCCGGGAAGCCAGCCTTGCTTCCTGCTTTGTGAGATGATACACTTAATAAGTTCCATCCTTGGAGGTGGGAATCTCGTTATTTGCTGATGGAAATATTACACCCCATCCCCAGCCCCCACTCCCCTGCCTCACCTGGCCCTAGCCTTTATGATAGCAAGTCCTGCCATGGAGGGCTGGCTGCCTCAGAACATCTCTTGGGGAAGCCAGTCCTTCCTGAACTACAGTGAGATTGCTAAGCATGCTGCACCCCACACCTTTTGCTTTTTGGGTTTTGGTTTTTTTGAGGCAGGGTCTCACTCTGTTGCCCAGGCTACAGTGCAGTGGTGTGATCATGGCTCATGGCTGCCTCAACCTCCTGGGCTCACACGATCCTCTGGTCTCAGCCTCCCTCCAGAGTAGCTGGGACCACAGACGTGTGCCACCATATCCAGCTAATTTAAAAAAAAAAAAATTGTAGAGATGAAGTCTGGTCTTGAACTCCTGGGCTCAAATACTTCCCCCACCTTGGCACCCCAAAGGCTGGGATGACAGGCATGAGCCGCCTTGCTCAGCCATGTTGCCCCTTGAATGCAAGAGTATTGCCTTGTCCACACAGCAGTTCCTCTTATTCAGTGAGACAAGCACAGACCCAGATAATTACATGAGCTGCCACTGGAAGAGCTGTTGTTAATTTTGATGGCAATAAAAGTCCTTGCCAGTACATTAAGCTAATTTCATGAAAGTGCTGGGAGGAGGGTCATGGGCTGGATCCCAGATTATTAATAATATCGAGCTTCATTTGAACCATTCAGAAAATTCCTCTCAGTTGCCTCCAGCAAACTGCCACAGGTTGCTACTTTCCTCTGAAATCAACAGTCTTCTCATAGGCAAATGTGGATTTTTTGTTTTTCCCTAGAAAATAATTAAAGTCACAAAGCCCAATAAATACTTCAACAGAATGTAGTTTTAATTAAAATCCCTCCACCAGATCTGCAGTTGCAGGTCTCTCTTCGCAAACAGGCATGCTGGCGACAGCCACTAGCATCAGAGTCTGAGTCTGAGTATCTGAAACTACAAACCTTAACAGATAATAATAGTAATTCTGGTTGCCACCAATACCCATGGCGTGTGTATGCAGAGGGGGTGGTGGTGGTGAAGAGCGAGGTCTAAGGCAGAGCCAAGGTCCTCCCCTGTCGGGGAGGCAGGACACAAGCCTGTAGGGGTGTGTGCAGCAGAACATTTTATCATACCTGTGTCCAACTCTGCAAGGCAACTATAATGGCTAATTCAGCCATTGTAGAAAAAAAGCAACTCATGTACTTAGCACTAAGTGCCAGGTACTAAGTGCTTTGCATACACTGACTCACTCATTTAATCCTCAAGTGAAGCATAGGTACTCTTTTTTTCCATTTTTATTTATTTTTAGACGAAGTCTTGCTCTGTCGCCCAGGCTGTAGTGCAGTGGCGCAGTCTCGGCTCATGGCATGTTCTGCTGCCTGGGTTCAAGCGATTCCCCTGCCTCAGCCTCCTGAGTAGCTGGGACTACAGGCACGCACCACCATGCCTGGCTAATTGTTTTGTATTTTAGTAGAGATGGCATTTCACCATGTTGGCCAGGATGGACTTGATCTCCTGATCCAGTGATCTGCCTGCCTCGGCCTCCCAAAGTGTTGAGATTACAGGCATGAGCTACCGCACCCTGCTTTTTCTTTTCT